TTCTTTCTTTTCTCCTTTCCCTCATCCCAGTAGTTCCTTCCCTTTGAACAATTTCTTTCCCTTTCACAATATCTATTGTACATTTTGGGTTTCATTTACTCTTCCAGGCTCTTACACTAGGGAGACAACATGATGTTTACACAGGCGTGTGTGATTTACTTCACCTATGAACATGGTCTCTAGTTGCATCCATCTACTAAAAAAGCCTCAAGTTGATCTTTTTTATAGCTGAGTAATACTGTATTGTATAAAAATACCATATCTTTGTATCCATTCCTTCACTGATGGGCATTTGGGTTGTTTCCAAGATTTAGCTATGACAAATTGTACTGCTATAAACATGGGTGTTCAAATTCTTGGAAGAAGACCATGTGCAGAGATTTGGGAACTGTTCTGTGCATGTGTTCTGGGATCTTGTAATTAACAGATCATAAGTACTTCCCCACTCTACTTTGCCACACCCTAATATCCTATCTCACTTCTATTTAAAACTGAAAACAACTTTTTGGACAACCATCCCTGCAAAGAAAATAAAAGCACTTAATTTTCTTTCTTAAAATTAACACTATTTTGTCAGTGGTCATGAATTTGAAAAGATTATAAAGCAAATATAATGAGCTTTTGTCAACTAAGTGGTTTCAGTCAAAATCAGATATAATTTTTTCTAAAGGTGGATTTTTATGTTTAATTTAAATAAAGGTTATGTATTTACTTTGGTTAATGTTTTGTATATTAAAATGTATTAATGCTGTTGAATGGAAATTAACTAAAACTATAAGAAAAAGTAATATTAATGAAATTATAGCCTAAGGTACAATTTACAAGAGACTTTTTAAAATATCACTTTCTTATGGAGTGGCATATATATAATCACTATTATATTCATGTGTTCATTTTATGATCTCTTTAATATGCCTATAAATGAATTTTAATTTTGTTATTTGGAACTGAAATTAAATGTTTATCTCTTTAATATAAAGCCTGTACTCTCTTTTTGCCTAGTAACATAATTCTGGGTAGATATGAGATAGTCATATGGATTTTATTTTCAATTGAAATGAGATAATTTTTCTTGTTCTTGTTTCTTCTTAATAGATTATTTTGCACATGTGTTAGAAGGTGAAAATGCTAGCCTTGCTGTACCTCACTTCAAAAACTGATAATAACTCCAATTTAATTATTATAATTCTACTTTAAAGGGTTAAAGGTCTATAACAAAATTGCTCATGGGGCACCTTTGGTCGCACTGTATCATCTTTTGCAAAATTCAAGTGACCACTTTTGGAACTCTAGTGTTTCATAGAACCTGATTGGAGAAAGTCTGCTTTAGGGACTTGGATAATGAATAGTAGGATAATGTGACCCTATGTACATAATTATATCAATAATTACAACTTTTACAACTTACAACTATATATCACTTCAGCATGTTATCTATAAAGTACATTATCCATAAGGATACACTGCCTACATAGTTAGGAAACACTGCCTAAAAGGACAAATGAAATGTGGACATGTTTAAAAGAGGACTATGTGTAAGCCAAATGAAACAAATTACAGCAAAGTTCAATGGGATGGAAAGTTCTATGGTCAATAGAACTGACTGACATAAGCAAAGCACGCTGAAAGAAAGAGGCCTAAAGTTGGGAGAGGGGGATATGGGTGAACTGTAGTGGCCTTAAACTAAGGAAGGAAATGGTCTTGAAAATCCCTTAAGATTTTGAATAAGGAATGTAGCTGATGAGACTGATTAAGAGAAAATAGATTGAAGGACTGGAAGAATTTAGAAGTAGACAGGCAAGCACAGACATTGTAATAATTTATGGAAATGAGTTCCAGACAACAATGGTGACAACAAAAGTGAAAAAATAGATGGGTATGAGAAACATGATTTTAGAGTTAATGATGTCTTAGATCAACCCCGCAAGGAGCAAATTTTTAGTGATGGTTGTAGTATTTCCACTCTCAGAAATATTAGAATTGTGGACTTAACAGTCCTGGTAGGCTGAATTAATTTTCTAAGACTCACTTGTCAGTCACCTTTCTTGGCTGTGTATCCTACACTATTTCTGTCATGTCATGCAAAAAATATAGACCCAGCAGCCTCATCTTCTTGTTTTTACAGAAAAGTTAGAAATCCAACTACTCTGTGGAGTCTGCTCATATTAAACATCAGCAGTTAATTTTTGTTAATGAATAAATTGCATTGTAGATGTGATATTGTTGCCCATTTGCAACATTTGTCTGGAATTCTGCATACAGTCGTTTTTTAAACCTTGTGTTAGGGATCAAACACAGTGCGTTTTGCCTGCTAGAAAAAAAAAAAAATCAATGAGCTCGACCTCCAACCCCTTATGTGCTGCTTTCTACAATCACCTAGAAATGATCTCAGACAAAAAGATAATCCCTCGTTAAAGTCTGTGTCATTCCTTTTTAGCAGGAAGTTCACAGGAAGATTTTTTTATTGTAGATAATACTTTCTCTTTGCTGTAATGTTGGTTTAAAGGTTACAAGCCTTTCTCTGCTTCTTCCCAGCCAGGTCTCTAGATAAACTTTATAACTTTGCTGATTGCTCTGGACTTCACCTGATATTTGCTCTAAATGCACTGCGTCGTAATCCCAATAACTCCTGGAACAGTTCTAGTGCTCTGAGTCTGTTGAAGTACAGTGCCAGCAAAAAGTACAACATTTCTTGGGAACTTGGTAATGGTAAGTAAAAACTTATTTCCTATAAATTAACAAGACAAAGGAGTGGGGGAATAAAATGGCTTGGTATATAGTCTGTCAGGTCATCTCTAGTACATTGGCCCAGAACACATTTGGGATGTTTGGCCACTGAGTTGACTCTCCACATGATGAGACTATATAGTGAACTCCAGTAGGCTTAGTGAAACAACATTATTTGCATCAGTAATTATGTGTAGATACTGCCTTCCAAATATAGGGAAAATGTTACAAAATGGAGAAAGTATAGTGACTTATTACTAGCAAATTGATGTTAAACCAGACACAACCTCTCTGTGTAGCCTGAGCTTCATTGTATAATGTGTTTTCTATGGAACACTGGTCCTGCCAGATGATTTCTAAAATAATAATTTGAAAAAGCTCTCATCAAATATTTTGCAGGGATGCTATATGGTATATGAACCTTATAAAGGTTCAAAATACACAGTTGTTTATTAAAAAAAAATAATTCTGAGAAATTTTACTGCAAAGATATCTGTTCAACATTTTCAATCTACCATTTCTTAAGCCATTTCACCAGGGCTTGTTTCAGGGGTGTACAATGCATTGTCACATAGGCCCCATGCTTATAAAAGACCCATGTTTGGTTTACTGCTCCACTGTTGTCATCTTGAAATTCTTAGTAAATATTTAAATAAAGGATTGATACTTTCATCCTGCACGAAATCCTGAAAATCATGTAGTCATTTCTTCTGTTCAGTCATTGAACTGTGTGTGTGTGAATATGCATGTGCATGTGCGTGTGTGTGTGTGTGCCTGAAAGTAACATCTATTATTATTTCCATAGAACAGTAGTCCATAGCAGTTTGGATAAATACTTCCTGAATGATGGCATTTTCTCAATGATGTGTATTTATGTATGATACATATGCTATTCTGTAGATTCCATGATTCTGTAATGTTGGGCATAGTCAAAATTAAGGAAGTATAAATCTGAAAATTTTCTGATTCTCTACATTTTGATTTACTTTTTGGTACATCTTAGAGCACAACAATTGAATTTAATAAACATTGTCTTTTCTTAAAATTATTATTAGAAATTGATTTCAACATTTTTATCCATGGCCTTATAAGTCTGTAGCTAGCCCAATTTGTTTGGAGCATTATAGCTGTGTGCACATATACACACACAATTTTATTCACACGTATTTACTGCATTCTGAAATTTAAAGTTTTCATAATAATACGGCAAAATAGGATGGTCTTATAAGAATAATTGTCCTGTTTTCTTATCAGTAGCCATTAATTGGAAAGTAACTTTCATTTTCCTCCCTCTTACACTTCTTTTCTTTCTTATTTGAATGAAGGAATTTTTTTATATTTCATTTTATATTTTTTTATATTTCATTTTATATTTTTTTTATATTTCATTTTTTAAAGTATAAAATTCCATAGGTTTTAGTATATTCATGGAGTTATGTAACCTTCCTCAATAAATTTCAGCACATATTAACATCTCCCAAATAAATCTTCATGTCCATTAGTATTCAGTCCTTTCATACTCTTAATTGTACACAACCATTAATTTACTTTTTGTCTTTTCCTGGTGTGAACATTTCTTTTCTATTTTGAAAAATAAAACCAAATTTTATACCAAAATAATGAGATAAACAAAAATCATTATCTTCAAAGTAGTTACTTAGAAACAAAGATTCTGTCTTATAGAAAAAAACATATAATAGCATAAAACTTTCTTTTCAATGAAGTAGAGAAACCAATAGTATAAGTTAAATAAGTTAGCATATATCTTATAACATTTTGACGTAATGAAATATGCAATTTGAAGACACATTTGAACTTCTCCCCCTATTTCCTATTTGTCTATCTCTTATTTTACACTCTCTCTCTCTTTCTCTCTCTCTCTCTCTCTCTCTCTCTCTCTATATATATATATATATATATATATATATATATGGTTTCTCATATATATATATGAGAAACTATGAAACAGTTAGGCTTATGTGTCTGACTTATTTCACTTAACATTATGTTCTCATGTTGCATCCATTTACATATGAATGCCTCAAGTTTATCTTTCTTTTAGGTGCAATAGTACTCCATCATTGTGCATAAGTACAAAGTTTCCTTATCCATTCATTTATTGATAGACATATATGCTGTTTTCAAAATCTAGTTATTGAGTCTGGAGATATAGCTCAGTGACACAGCACCTGCCTTACAAACTCAAGGTCCTGAGTTCGATTCCCAGTACCAAAAGAAAATCTAGCTATTATAAATTGTGCTGTTATATACATGAATATACACATTTCTCTGTATTATGATGCTTTTAACCCTTTGGGGAAAATGTCTAGAAGGTGAATAGCTGGGCCAAATGGAATTTCTATTTTTAGTTTTTGAGGTATCTTCATGCTGATTTCCATAGTGGTTCAGCTAGTTTACATTCTTACCAACAGTGTGCAGTATAGTTCCTTTTTCTCCCCATCCTCACAGCATTTGTTGTTATTAGAGTTTTTGGTAAAAACCATTCTTTCTGTGGTAAGATGGTATCTCAAAGTACTTTTAATTGACATTTCTTTAATAGCCAGTGATGTTGAACTTTTTTTATGGTTTTTTTTTCTTTTTTTGTTGTTGTTTTTGGCCATATGTATTACTTCTGTGAAGTGTCTATTCATTTTGGTTTCCCATTTTTTAATGGATCTTTTATTAGGGGAGTTTACCCTTTTTGAGTTCTTTATAGATATTCTAGATATTATTCCTCTATTTGAGGAATAGCTAGCAATTTTTTTCCATTGTGTAGGTTATCTCTCCACTCTGTTAGGTATTTCTTTTGCTGTTCAGAAGCTTTTTAATTTGAAGTTATCCCATTTGTTGATTCTTGGTATTGTTTTTGTACCACGGGGGTTTCACCCAAAACGTTTTGGAAGGATGGCCATTTTCATTATCTTGCTTCTTCCTACCCAAGAACAAGGAATATCTTTCCATTTTCTGATATCCTCTGCAATCTTCTTTTTCAGATTATTGTAGTTTTAATGTGAAGGTCTTTTAATTCTTTTGTTAGATTGATTCCTCAGTATTTCATTTCTTGGATGCCATTATGAAAGGCATTGTTTCCTTAATTTCTCAAAAAGTCCTTGCCTATGCCTTTGTCTTCTAGATCTGTACCTATTATCTTCCAGGAGATTAAGTGTTTCTATTTTAAAATTTAGATATTTTAGTTCAGTACATAGTGAACTATATGAGTCTAAACTCAGTCTTCAGCATGTAGTTATCTAATTCTCTGAGCACCACTATTTCAGATGCTATATTTCCTCCTGTATAAGTTTTTGGCCCCTTTGTTAAAGATGAAATAACTTTATTGCCTGAGTTGTTTCTGCTTCTTATATTTTGTACCATTGATACCCATGTCTGTTTTGTGCCAGAATTTAATCACCATAGCTTTGTAGTATAACTTTAGGTCTGGCATTGTGATGACACCTGCTTTGCTTTTTGTTACCGAGGATTGCTTTTGCTATTCTGGGTCTCCCTTGGTGCCATGTGAATTTTAGGATTGTTTTCTCTAGATCTGTAAGATATACCATTGGGATTCCATTAAATCTAGGCATTTTTATTGTATTGGTTTTGCCAATCCTGGAGCAGAATATATTTTTCTATTTCTAATATCGACATCAATTTCTTTTTTTCAGAGTGAGATAATATTCACTACAGGTCTTCCACTTCCTTGGTTAGATTAATTTGCAAGTATGTCTGCAGGATATATTTGATTTCACCATTTTCATTCCTAATTGCACACATTTCAGTCTTTATTTGATAAGGTTGTTGAATGGTTTCTCAATTTTATTTAATCTTTCAAAGAGCTAACTCTTCAATTCATTGATTCTTTGCATTTTTTTTTTTAGTCTCAATTAGACATTAATTTAGACATTAATTTCTGCTCTGATCTTTATAATTTTTTGCCCTGTATAATCTTCGGGCTTGATTTGCCCTTCTTTTTCTAGAAGCTTTAAGTTCAGCATTAAGTTATTTGAGCTCATTCTGTTTTTCTGATGTAGAAACTTACTGCTATAAATTTCCCTTGTAGGACTGCTTTCATTGCATCCCCTAAGATAATGTATGGGCATTACCATTTACTTGCGGAATTGTCTGATTTTTTTCTTTAATTTCCTCTGAAACATATTGTTTGTTTAGGAGGGTGTTATTTAATTTACATGTGTTTGTGAGTTTCTTTTACTATTGATTGCCAATTTTATTCACTGTGGTCTGATAATATGCATGGGATAATTTTAATTCCTTTGCATTTACTTAAGCATGTTGTATGAGCTAGTATGTGCTCTACTTTGGAGAACATCCCATGTGCACCTAAGAAGAACATATATTCTAATGTGGCATGGGACCCTCTGTAGATATCTACTAAGTCCATTTGTATAAAACTCTGGTTTAGTTCTGATACTTCTTTGTTTCTTTATCTAATTGATCTGTCTATTTATGACAGTGGACTATTGAGATCTCTCTTTATAATTGTATTTGTGCTTATTTGATTTTTTATGTCTGTTAATATTTGTTTTCTATAGTTGGTGCTCACGTATTTGGTGCATGTATATATTTGTGACTGTGAACTCTTCCCCTGGGATTGTTCCTTTAACGAGGATATAGTGATCTTCTTTTCTCTTGGTATGGCTAAGTCTCCCCAAAGCCTCATGTAGCCATGGGAGCAGACTTCTAGAGTTTATGATTGATTTATGGTCCAATGGTGGAATTATAGGTATGAGATGCTATATTTCTGCCCTGGGGCAGGTAGCCAACATACAATGTAAGGGACAGAAAGAGTCTTCTATCTCTCCACTCCTCCCCTTTTTGCTCTTGTGGCTTCTGCTGTCTTCCACTGCCATGAACTGTCACCCTTCTGCCATGTCAGCCTGTCTTGGAGCTAGCTGATTATGCACTGAAACCTCCACACACTGTGAGCTAAACTAATCTTTCCTTCCTTAATTTTGGGCATTGGGTGT